CTAATGGTGAAAAAAATCATTTAAAATACCTACTATACATTCATAAGGTTTTTATATAGAATAAAATTATTCTTGTTTGAAAATCAGAATTGTGTCAACTATTTCCTAAGACAATCATTCTTGAAGGACGGGCATCTCAAGAAATCAGTAAAGTCAGCAACAGGTATAACATAAATACCAACCACTGAGACAGAGTTGAAGTGAAATTTAGAGATTCAAATTATATCCTGTCCTCTCAGTCATTGACTTTAAAGTGTGTGAACAATTCATTTTACAACAAAAGATTGGATACATTAATTTAGAGAAGGAAATTTGTGCCATTCAGAATGGCACAAAACCTCCCCTCATACTCAGCTCTGAACCCAGCAGGACCTTCAGAAAGATGGACAGGAGGGTGCAGCAGTCTTCGGGCAGCCTGGGTGTTCCTGCGCTCAAAGGTTCTTGCCGGAGGGTAGAGCAGAACACCAAAGTATTGCGAGAATGGCTGTTTTTACAGTAGCTCTGGCCTCCTGGGAATTAGGAAGTGCCATAAATCTCAAGAGAGGGACTGTTTATACAAATTTCCCAGCCCACATTTCAGACTCCAGAGGTTCAGATGCATTTCTTTTATGTTCCAGAAAAACAAGCAGGCTTTGGGGGAACACTTCTCAACCAGGCTCAAAGTTCACGTCTTCGTGATTTATCCACCATTTGCGCTACCAAGAATGCTATCCAATCTACAGTTTGCAATTATTTTTAATGGACTCATCTGCATTGTTAAAAACTACCTGTGTTTTGACAGATAAACCAGTCAACTCTGGAAACAGTGCTGGCCTCTTAGATTTCTTTTTGGAAAATGTCTTAAATTTATGATGGGAATTACTCATGGAAGCTGCGTTCTTTCCATTGGGTTTAGACCGTCATTGGATCTAGTAACCCCTAATTGTGTGTCTATTCTAGTCTAAGCTTATTCGGATGAAAAAGCATGGGAAGACTTTTGAAACTCCCCTACAGCAATACCTGGGGACTCCTGTCAACAGTAAACACTATTTTGAAACTTCAGAAGGGCCACTAATGAACATAATCCTCATTTTAGTGAATGTAGATTTCTTCAGAGAATTTTCATGGCTGCCGTTAATGCTAGTCCAATTTTTAAAAAGTGAAAAACGACTTAGTTTCATCGTGTTCCCAAGGTATTTTTAGCATAACAGGCAAAATTCCTGTCAGCATTCACAGTCATGGTATTTTCTTGAAAGAAATACCTCTCAAAGTGATTTTTCTCCAAACGCCACCAAAGTACACCGTGGGTACCTTGAAGACATTGCACATTTAAAAATCGTAAGAGGTCTAATTATATTTCCAAAATAAGTAGTTTCCAATCCAACGAGGATAATGTGGTCATGAGAAGGATGTCCAAATCCACCAATTTACATCGGTTTGGTTTGGCATAACTTTTAAAGTTCTTGGAGCAAAAAGAGGATGGCACGTGAATCATTGTAATTTGGGTAATATTCCCAAACCTTGGGGTTTGCCACTCTGTGAATAATTCAGGGGAAAGCTAATCAACTTCCAGACTGTCCCTATATAATTTATAACTGCTAAAATTCACTGATATGTTCCAGATTATTTTGCACAATGTAATACATTCCCTTTTAATATGCACTTTGTCATTTTCACTCTATTTATGTAATTTTAAAAGTATGATAGCAGGGGAGCATGAGCCATTGAAAGCGGGAGCCAGTAATGTCAGAGATCGTTATCCTTCACAAGATAAATAGTATTGATATCTCTGCGTCTGAAGGGCTTGCAAGTTGTGTCAAGTCAGATTCAAACTGTATTCAATAGTTTTGCTTTACTTCCTTTTACTTTCTGGTGTTTATGTTTAGCCACAAAGCCGCTTCTCTGCTGGGACTTAGTTCTGCAACCACAGTGGTGGTGCTGGGCTGAGGTAGCCTCGCTGTCCTCATTCCCAGCCCTCCATCTTGGTATCCAGAAAGAAAATTGGGTTATTAATTTAGGATGAGGCTGCTTTGTTTTAGTAGTATAGTGCTTTTTCAATTGCTCATACATAATATATCTAACCCATACTGTTCTTCCAAATGTTTCTGATTACTGAACTTGAAAAGAAAAAAAAAAAAACTTCTACCAAAATTTATTAAAGACCAATGGGGCACTTCTTATGGTATAACCGTAAATTCATATAAGAGAAAAAGAAAGTTTTTTGCTACTGAAGAATTTTAGTAATTGAAATTCAGTTTATAACACTAGACAACATGTGCATTTCAATAACAGATAAAATACTATTTAAAAAAAAGAGAGCCCTAGTCTGAAAGTAAAAATATACTTGGTTTTATACCTCATATAAAGAGACATGTATATTAAAGTAAGGTTTAAGAAGAATCTTATTTACAATAAAAATATGTTGAAATTAAAGTAGTTTCATTTACTAATAACCTCTGATAAGGATCCAACTAATTGGAAAACAAAAATTAATTTAAAAATGCATATAGTAAATTTTCTCATTTTTATTGTAATAGATATTGACCTCTCATCTATAATCATTATTTTAAACAGGGAAAATTCAACTGATTCTTTTTTAAAAGCATTAAGATTTCTCATTTGGAGAATATAGACCTACATATCTCATTGATGTTTTTATTTTCTAAAATATTCTGTTTCTCAAATTCCTTCAGAGCAACTGATAATTCATGGAAAATATCAGGATCACATTCATTTGGCCAAACTGTGTTTGTATTGGCAAGCAAGATAGCATTATTCACCATTTCTGGTTCTAAATGGCCTTCAACTACTTTCAGATCCAAAACTATTACAAAAAGGCCCTAAACTTGCTGTTTTGAACATATTTCTATAGATAATATGGAGCCCCTCAAGGTGATTTTAGAGAATTCCAAAATATTTTCCTCCATGGCCCATATTTCAAAAAATTAAGCATAATCCCAACAAGGAAAACTTTGAAAGGGATACACTTAGTTGAATACATAAGTTTTAATATTTTTTAATTCTATCACATTATTTTAAAATTATATTTAAAACTAAGTACCCAGTACCATCTAATGACGAAGCAAGGAAAAAATGGTTAATGAATTATAAAGTTCTGGATATATGTGCATAAATTAACAAACAACATGGTTCTATATCAAAACTAGAAATCAAATATTAGAAAAGTGTTCATTAAGGTGACTGTCACATTTAAGTTATTAAATGTATAGTGTACTTAAAGCAAAGAAACTGGAGTATCTTTTGATTAATGGAGCTATATTGTGCATCAGGAAAAAAGAATGTATTTGATTTTCATTAATGTGTATGTTTTACACTTTGACTACAAAGTGTCCAATCTTATTTCAATTCCTTACAAATTCATAGTTTTCAGAAAAGGACACAGTCTTGGTAATTTATTATTAAATTATTCTAGAAATACAAAACTCACACTAATTAGTAAATTTGCTAATAGCTATTCTAAGTTACTCTGCAGTTTATTACATGGAAGAGCAGCAACCATTGTGAAGATCACTCTGCAGGGAAGAATTTTTATTTCCACTTTTCAGTGGAAATACTTTGTATGGCACTATAATGATGGATACGTGTCATTATGCGTTTGTTCAGAACCATAGAATGTGCATTAAGGTTGAATCAGGATGTAAACAATAGATTCTGAATGATTATGATGTATCAATGCAGGTTCACCAGTTGTAATAAATGTGCTCTTCTGGTGGGGAATGTTGATAATGGAGAGGCTATGCTCCTGTGATAGAAATATTTGTACCTCCCTATCGATTCTGCTATATACCTAAAACTGCCCTAAGAAGATAGAGTCTTGTAAAAATAATGAATGATTAAAAAGAAATAATAACCAATAAAATAAAATCCATGATTTTTTAAATTATGCCATTAATGCCAATGTTAAGTGTTTTGTTATTCTATCCTGATTCACTGATGAAATATTTTGCACAATGACAGAAATTTCCTAAAATAAAATATGTAAAAGCAGAGATGATAAACAATGAAAAAACTCACTTCATGTCAGTAAAGAGCTTTTCAAAGACTTTATGCTATTACACTATGACAATAATTTCCACCAACTTATTTAATACTATGATTGTAAATTACAACATTCAGCCATGGCATTGTACCACCTTAGAGACTCTGCTGAGACAGCAACTTCTGTATTGGCCGGCCATCTCACCCCAGTTCCCTAAGGGCATGGACACATCAAGGAATATATACTCCTGACATTAAAATTATATTATCAATATTTTAGGGACAATGATACTGTTTGAATGTGTCTATCTTTTTTATTTTTTATTTCTTTATCTTCTTGATAACTTGGTATTAGAAATAACTATACACTGTAATAGATGTGTGGAAAACAAGTGGTTGATTATCCAAAGTCATTGCCAGCATAAATTATTTTGAATTATAGATGACCAGTTTTAAAGTAATCTGAAACTAATTTCACCATTTTGTCAAGTATTCCTTTTTTATTTCTCTCCATACATAACAGGGTGCCCAATTAACTGTAATACATTACAGACTATCATACTGATTGTATATCTGGAATAGAAACTTCATACTATAGTTTGAAATCATCAAGTCAATACATGTTACTGAAAACACCTTGAGTTATTCTATCTTCCCAAAAAGTGTAATAATACATGAAGTTTCCTCTTCCCTACAACACCCCACTCCCAATTTAATTCCTATATTTTCCTTGGGAAAGAATCTTAACCATATCATGAAACCCCATGCTATCTACTGCTTCTTTATGTGTCAATTAGACTCAGATGTGTTGATCATTAACTGTCACTGAACTTCATGTGTAGTCTTTTGGGATCAAAATATTGAAGTTTGCTTGGTTTAGGACATAGGAATGTTTTATCTGTAACAGAGAGATATTTGGTGGTGATTTACTACTGTCTTTCTTCCCATATTTATTATTTTTTTTCTTTTGACCATCTCAGTTTTCATATCAGCAAATATAACACATGCACTTTTATTTTCAGGTCTAGATGTTGATGGAATATATCGAGTTAGTGGCAATCTGGCAACAATACAGAAACTAAGGTTTATTGTCAACCAAGGTAAGGGATTTATTTAATTTTTACATTTTTAGTAGTTTTGTATGCACCAATATTTCATATTCTGTGCTGTAGGCATTGTGAATATATAATAATAAAAGTTTTAAAGGGGGAAGGAGAAAGTTAATGAGATTACCAGTTATCATCAGAGAAGTAAAAGGTAGTTTACAAGAAGATAAATAGAGATAAGGACCAGTTAGCAGTTTATGTGAAATAAATAATGAGAGGATATGAAAAACTAAAAATGAAGAAAAGAATAATAAAAATGAAGAAGAGTATTACTGGCACATTATATACATTTAATATATATTGATAACTAAATGCATAAATGAATGATAGAAAATTTGAAAATCATTTACATGATGGAATACTATGCAGCAGAGAGAAAGAAGGTACTCCTACCCTTAGTGACAGCATGGGTGGAACTGGAGATTATTATGCTAAGTGAAATAAGCCAGGCAGTGAGGGACAAATACCATATCATCTCATCTGTAACTGGAGCATAATCAACAAAAGCAAAAAAGCAAGCAAAATATAACCAGAGACACTGAAAGTAAGAAACAATCTGACAGTAACCAGAGGGAAAGTAGAAAGGAATAATGGTAGGAAGGGTTATCAGGAAAAACTATGAAGGACACATGGACAAAACTAAGGGGGAGGGTGGAAGTAAGGGAGAGAGGGGGGTTTGACTGGGGTAGCAAAGAGCAGCATAGGGAAAACGAAGAGAACTGTAATTGAACAACAATAATTTTTTTTAATTTTTAAGTCAAAATCACAGATGTTAGAGAAGTAACATAATTGATAAGTCAAAGAACTGAAAATTAGGAAATGCATATATCATTAAAGGGTTGCAATCAAAGGCAACATGAAACCCCTGCCCAGTTATTAGAATATCTAAAATCTGAAATACTGACAATTCCCGATGCTGGCAAGTATGTGGAGCAACAGGAACTCACATTCACTGTTGGGAAAATGCAAAATGGTACAGCCACTTTGGAAGATAGTTTGGCAGTTTCTTATGAAAATAAACATATTTTATTATGTTTGCATGTAGTATGGATATTTTTACCATAATACACAGCAATTGCACTCCTTGGTATTCACCCAAATGAGTTCAAAACTTCCATCCCCACAAAAACCTGCACACAAATTTTTCAGCAGCTTTATTTATAATTGGTAAAACTTGAAAGCAACCAAGGAGACCTTCTTCAATACATGAAGGGATAAACAAACCATGGCACATCCATATAATGGAATATTATTCAATGATAAAAATAAATGAGCTATCAAACTACAAAAAGACTTGGAAGAACCTTAAGTACATATTGCTAAGTGAAAGAAACCAGTCTGAAAAGGCTTCATGCAAAGTTATCCCAACTGTATGACAATCTGGCAAAGGCAAAATTATGCACAGTAAAAGTTCAGTGGCAGCAGAGGATTTGAGGGAAGGAGGGATGATATGTGAGCACAAGGGAGGTGTATGGCCATTGAACTATCCTGTTTTGATATTGTGATAGTGGATGCATGACATTATGTTTCTCAAAATACATATAATGCACAAAATACAGAGTGAAACTTAATTTAAACTGTAGACCTTGGTTAATAATGAAATATCAGTATTTGCAAACTGATTGTAACAAATGCACCACACAAATGCAAGATGTTAATAAGGGAAACTAGGAAAGGGGTTGGGGGAACTAGGGGAAGAGCACAAAGGATGTATAGGAACTCTTTGTTTCCCATTCAGCTTTTCTGTAAACCTAAAATTTCTCTTAAAAAGACTGAATTGGAAAGACAGATTCCAATAGTATTATTTTAGGACAAATATGTGTAGGTATACATAGAATTTGCAACACTTTTTCTATGTACCAGAAAATTTTGACAAATACTGAGACATTTATTTTATTATTTTGTGTAGAAGTATAGTAAACTATTTCTAAGGTTGTTTAAAAAGATTATGAATTAAGGCCCTGGCTGGTGTAGCTCAGTGGATTGAGCGCGGGCCTGCGAACCAGACAATCGCGGTTCGATTCCCAGTCAGGGCACATGCCCGGTTGCAGGCCGGTTCCCTGCAGGCCAGTTCCCAGCAGGGGACTCATGAGAGGTAACCATACATTGATGTTTCTCTCCCTCTCTCCTTCCCTTCCCTTCTAAAGATAAATAAAATCTTTTAAAAAAAAAGATTATGAATTAAAATAAAAAATGACAAATTAGAAAATGTTACAGACTAACAAGGATACTAAAACATCATGTGGTGTTACAGACCATTTATAGGTTTAAAATCAGACATATGTCCTTGGCATTTTTTTTAACTCTCTGCACTGTTTCTTATTTGTAAAGAATGGGGTGGAGCATGGGGGGCGGGGAACTCCTTGGAAACATTTGAGAAAATTAAATGAGATAACACGTGGCATCCCTTAGTGACACAACAGACTCACCCGGGGTAGTTGATTAAAACGTGTGAGTTTTCCTTTCACTTACAAGCAGTCAGTGGTGTCTCTGCCTTCAGGAGAATTTACACAAAGTCTACACAGACTCCTACTCTGGCTTCACATCTAACTTCTATCTAGCTTCAGATCCTCTGAATTTCCTTCACAGTTCATTTCCCATATTTACGTGCTGTTGCATTACTTAATGATTTTGCATAGTCTCATCTCTCTACTTTCAATATCCTCTCACGTTTTCTTTCCCACCCACACATGAGCTTCCTGACTGATAGATGTCTCCTTATTCTTCAAGGCCCAGATTATAAATAATTCTCTCCTGTGGTCCTGTTTCACTAGGTAGTTGAATTTCCTGTACTACATACACATATAACTTCCAAAATTTCATTTATTATAAGACCCAGAAATATAATGCCATCTTTTGAAGGGAACAGTATGAAATGTACTCAGTGATTATATTTTACAAACATTAAAATCTCAAAGTCTTGGAATGAAAAGAATAAGATACCAGTTGAAATATCTGCCACTTATATAATCTCTACATACCTAAGAAGGTAAGACCTGAATCATCCTTGAATCTGCCTCTATTGACCAGTAGAAGCCCTGGGTCTTCATAGAGGGAATTCTTAATTAATAGTTACTGAATAATGTGTGTGTTTGGTGAGGGGGAGGTTGCACGTAGAAAGGGTATTACTGAGAATTCATTAAACTCAGGTTGAACCACCCTTTTAAGTGTTGACTGCAGTACTTCTGACTGGCAGCCATGTGACTCATTTCTGAGAATCTCTGTAACTGAGAATCTCCACAGCTCTGCTTGCTCACTAATGTGAACCTTTGCATTTCACAATTACTCTCCTTCCTGGAGGATGGGGAGGAAGAAACAGAACTAAAAACTTTACCTCCGTTACTCATACCGGCCCCATTAGACTGACCCAGAGCACCCTCTTTGTGGGTAGAAGTTGGAGAAAATAGACCAGCCTTATTTGCATTCCCGCTTATAACCAGTTAAAATTACTCTTGCAATATATTTCATACTGAAACCATATCCTGATTGGAATTCTAGACAGCTGGGCAACACATTTCTTCTACAAAGAAGAAATCTCAAAACATAAGCCATGGTAGAAACAAACACTAGTTGTATTTCCTGCCTTAAAAAAATTATGCTCAGCAGTTTGAAAAGGCAAAAGAAAATCTGCAATGAAAACATGAAATCTGTCCATCTTGTCTTTTGCAATCCAAACTGCGGCGTCCTCTGAGGCTGTGTGACTGCTCATGTTTCCATGAGTTGACAACGTAAAGCTGGACAGAGGCCTGGGTTGGTATCTGGTAGCACAGAATTGTCAGTAAACTGTCTTCCTGGTTTATAGCATTGTCAGAATGCAACACACTCAACACAAATTATGCTACCTTAGGACCTTTGATACTGGTGGTTTTGTCCAAGCTGTGCCATGGAGTTTTTTGAATGGATGGTAAAAGAAATGCATATACCAGCTTCTCTCAAATTTTGCTACCCTGATACAAACACCATACCTTCCCCTCTATTTGCACACTGGTCTCTCTCTGATAGTAGAGCTCACTTAAAAGAGAATCAGTGCTGGGGTCAAAGGGGGCTGCATGTGTGCATCATGGCCCCTCCTCTGTGTGTGTAATATGAAATAAAGCGGCAATGTGATGATAAGTCTATGAAAGGCACAAATCATATGTGAATGCAATGCACTGTTTTTTTATGTTCAAAGATAGAATATGAATGTATACCCTCTTTGTTTTAACACCTTTTATCTGTTCCATGTTCACATTCCACAATGTTTCTTTTTTTAGAAGGTTCTAAATATACGTATTTAAAATGAACAAGCCCTACCCACCATTAGGCTAGACAAATAAAACTGATTTGGTGGATTTTCAGGAACAGTTCAGTTACAATTTATGTATTTCACTAACTTTCTTGAATGCTTTAATCATCAGCAATTCTAAATACACTAGTTGAATGATTTAATTTGTTTTGATTTTTCTTTTGACTCACTAACTTGGTAGGAATTGTATATACCCTTATTATACTTCCAGATCTGATGGCATACAAGCTAAATTCAAAGACCACTTTTGAAAAGACTATCCTAATTATAACTACTAATGGTGGTAATAATAATTAGTATTATAAAAGTAGCTGACATTTTCATAATTGTGTGGCAGGTACTTTACTGCTTTTCTTAAATAATTTAATTTAATCCTTTCTACCATTCCATAAAATGGGTACTATTATTGTTTCTACTTAAAAAATGAGAAAACTGAGGTTCAGAGATGTTAAATATACCCTAAGGTCATACAGCAGGTGAAGGAGCTAGATCCCAGTTCTCTCTGGCTCAGAGCCTATGCTGAAAACCACTGCCATGATTGGGCATTCTTCATTCCTTAATTGTTGATTACTTCCTTATAAAAGTACATTTCAGTCTTTTAGTGCTACACACACTTGCTAATGACTTTCTGTTTATACCTGCTTTCTAGTATCAGTAACTGACAAAGCACTGTCATAGGAGTTTGGCTAAAACTGTTCAAAAAAGAGAA